AATTAAAAGCAGACCTAGAGCACAAAAGAGAGGGGAGAGAATTGATTACCCTTTTTGAAGCTTTTATGAATCTCAATTAAATCAGGATACTCTTTCAGGTTACTCTTGCTGAACAGGACTGACAGAACTGAACAATCAAACACCTTCTCCAGGTGGCAGAGAACCTGGTACACAACTTTCTGTACAGGAATCAAGTTTACACAGGCTTCTTGAGAATTCTGTTAAAAAAAGTTCAATGGAAAAAATACACAAAATAATAGCTTTAAAGTTAAACAAAGATCGACAATGTAATTGCATAGAATACTTTCCTTGTTCTCAGTGTAGACTACTATTTTTCATTATATAAATATTAATATATATATTTACATATATATATATTTAAGATGGAGTCTCGCTGTGTTGTCTAGGCTGGAGTGCAGTGGTGTTATCTCAGCTCACTGCAACCTGCACCTCCTGGGTTGAAGTGATTCTCTTGCCTCAGCCTCCTTAGTAGCTGGGATTACAGGCTTGTGCCACCTGGCTAATTTTCATATTTTTAGTAGAGATGGGGTTTCACCATGTTGGTCAGGCTGGTCTTGAACTCCTAACCTCATGATCCACCTGCCTCAGCCTCCCAAAGTGCTGGAATTACAGACATGAGCCACTGTACCCAGCCTAGAACTTTTTAAATATTTGATCCACTGCTTTAGAAAAACAAGTAAACCCTACCTCTTGACTTTTGAGCTCTTATCCTGCCCAGGATGCCGCGGGAATAAATCTTACAGTGATTTCGTTGTCTGTACAGCAGTCACTGCCCCCACACTCCCCACCTTCCTCCTACGGTATGAGAAGTCCTGGACAGGCTCCAGGAGATTGGGAGGTGGTTCTTCCCTTGCCATAAAGAACACAATAGAAAGGGCACAATCACACACTGAAGACATGGCTTCCTTCTCTGCACCTCCATGGCACTGTACAAACTCACCTGAATTCCAAGGCTCCACAACTACCCAATGAAATGTAAACACTTTAGAGGAGACAACAGCAAGGCAGAAATTTGTTTGATAACAATTATAGTGGCACAAATTCTCTGGGGGTTACCTCTGACATAAGTAAACATTACAAAGCAAGACTGCTTCCATTATCTTGGTTATCGTAATTTTGTTTTATTCTTGTATGTTGTATAAATCACTACATATTTGCAGAGCATATCAGTTTCACTCCAGCCATGTCATCATTACCTTCCACTCCCTCCCCAACAGTTGCTACAAAAGAACAGGGCAACTGCGTGCAGTGGCTCACTCCTATAATCCCAGCACTTTGGGAGGCCGAGGTGGGTAGATCACCTGAAGTCAGTAGTTCAAGACCAGCTTGACTAATGTGGTGAAACCCCATCTCTACTAAAAATACAAAAATTAGCTGGTCATGGTGGCAGGCACCTGTAGTCCCAGCTGCTTGAGAGGCTGAGACAGGAGAATTGCTTGAACCAGGGAGGCAGAGGTTGCGGTGAGCAGAGATCATGCCATTGCACTCCAGCCTGGCTGACAGAGCAAGGCTCTGTCTCAAACAAACAAACAAACAAAAAAGAACAGGGCTTCAGTTAGAAATAGAGAGTCTTGTCTAGGCAAAGTGGTTCAGCCTGTAATCCCAATACTTTGGGAGGCTGAGGTAGGAGGTTCATTGAGGCCAAGAGGTCAAGACCAGCCTGAGTAACATAGCAAGATCCCATCTCTACCAAAATAATAATAATAATAATATCCAGGTGTGGTGGCATACACCTGTAATCCCAGCTACCCAGGAGGCTAAGGTGAGAGGTTTACTTGTGTCCAGGAGGTCTAGGTTGCAGTGAGCCATAATTGTGCCACTTTACTCCATCCTGGGACACAGAGTAAGAAGCTGTCTCTAAACAAAAGGAAGGAAGGATGGAAGGAAGGAAGGAAGGAAAGAAGGAAGGAGGGAAGGAGGGAAGGAGGGAAGGAGGGAAGGAGGGAGGGAGGGAGGGAAGGAAGGAAGGAAAGAAAAGAGGAGGAGGAGGAAAAAAAGGAAAAGAAATAGAAGTATCTTTAATGACATCTGTTTGCCCCATTACCTTCTACCTTATACAATAAGTAACCAACAGAAAAGGGTCTTTCCACAAAAGGTATGAAAGGCCTTTCAGGCAGTTAGCAGTGTACTAAACTTTGAATCCAGGATGCCAAATATAAATTAATGTGGGGGCCAGACTACCATGGGTGATGTAATAAACTTCACTTACAGCATACATTTTTTCAGTGATAAAGGAATTGTCCCTGAGGCTTTCAAGAAAAGGAAATAGCTTTGTTATTGCATTTGCTATCTCCACCTTATTTTCCTTGAAGTGATTGAAATAGATCTCACAGGAAACTTTTTTCTTCTGGACCACTGCAAACATCCTAAGGAAAAAAAATACAATGAGAAAATAAACATCAAGATTTCAAGATGCCTTTCCCAGCCGAAACATTCCTGGCCCAGAAAACTTCACTTGTAAATTCTTCAAAACATATATTTAAGAAAGAATAAAACCAATCTTACACAACCCCTTCCAGTGAATAAAGAAAAAACAAACGTGCTCTAACTTACTGGAAAAGGATAGCATAATCCTTATACACAAGTCTGTCAAGACATTACAAAAATGAAAAGTACAGATTACTATCTCTCATGGACAGAGATGGTAAAACTGCAACAAAGTATTAGCAGGTCAAATCCAGCAACAGGTAAAAATAATAATACATCATGACTAAGTGAGACTTATTCCAGGAATGCAAGAATTCTTTAACATTTAAAAATTGGGAACTGGTGCTCACTTCGGTAGCACATACACTAAAATTAGAACAATACAGAGAAAATTAGCATGCCCCCTCCACAAGGATGACATGCAAATTTGTAAAACATTGCATTTTTTAAAAAATCAGGAAATATATAGCACCAGATTGACAAAATAAAGGTGAAAAACATATGATAATTTCAATACATCCAGAAAAAGCTAAAATACAATAAAATATCTGTTCATGAATTTTTAACTCTCAGAAAACTAAGAATAGAAAGTAGAAAGTAACTTTTAAATATAATAAAGTATATAAGCAAACAAAACCTTATAGCTAACATTATACTTAAATGTGAAATGCTAAACACTTTCCCACTCAATTTGAGAACAAAACAAAGATGTCTACTGTCACCATTTCCATTTAACACTTACTAGAAATCCTAGACAATGCAATAGGTGAGAAAAAGAAATAAAAAGAATAAACCTATAAGGGTGGAAATATAACTACCATTATTTGCAGATGACTATATACCTGGAAAATCTAAAGGAATGGATAAACTATTAGAATTAATTAATTTCAGTAAAGTGTCTGGATTCAAGGTTAATATGCAAAAATCAATTATATTTTTGTACAGGAAATAATGTTTTGTATACAAGTTTAAATAAAAATAGAAAAACAATATCCTTTTCAAAAGCATCAAAATCACCAACAATAAAGGTAAATCTAACAAAAGATGTACAAGAAAGTTACACTGAAATTCACAAAACTTTTGCTGAGAGAAATTTAAGAAAGCCAAAATAAATGGAAACGTATCTTTGTGGACTGAAGACTAAATATGAATATGTAAGGCCAGGTGTGGTGGCTCACACCTGTAATCCCAGCACTTTGGAAGGCCAAAGCAGGCAGATCACGAGGTCAGGAGTTAGAGACCAGCCTAGCCAACATAGTGAAACCTCGTTTCTACTAAAAGTATAAAAAATTAGCTGGGAGTGGTGGTGGGCACCTGTAATCCCAGTTACTCAGAAGGCTGAGGCAAGAGAATCACTTGAACCAGGAGGCAGAGGTTCCAGTGAGCTGAGATAGCACCACTGCACTCCAGCCCAGGCTACAGCACGAGACTCTGTCTCAAAAAAAATATTAATATGTAAATTCTCACCAACTGATTGATAGATTTGATATAACTTTAGTAAAATTCAAGTGGTATTGTTGGTGGAAATTGACAAACTTATTTTAAAATATAAATGAAAATGCAGAAGACTAAGATTAGCCAAAAGAGTCTTGAAAAAGAATCACAGTGTTTTAACTTCATATAAAGTTACAGTAACTGAGACAACATGACACAGGCATAAAGATAAGGATATAAATGAATAGAGACTGCAACAAAGAGAAACACACACATGAGGTCACCAAATTTACAACAAAGACACTGCTGCATTTTAGTGGGAAAAAGGATGATCTCTTCATGAAATGGTGTCAGAGCAATTGAAAACCCTACCTCACTCCATATACAAAAATTAATTTCAAATGAATCATGACCTAAATATGAAAGATGATATAGTATAGCTTCTAGAGTAGGTAGGATAATATCTTCTTGGCTTAAGGTAGGCAAAAATTTCTTGCAGAAGATCCCAAAACACTATGAAAGAAACCACTGACAAATTAGACTTACTTAAAAGTAAAAACCTTTGTTTATCAAAAGACGCTATTAAGAAAGCGAGGAAAAGCCACGGAATGTGTGAAGATATTCATAACATTCTGTATAGAAGAAGGCGTCTATGTAGAACGTATAGAAAGAACGTCTAGTAATTAGAAGAACACAAAAATCTCCATTTTTAAAAACAAAAATATAGGCACAATAGCCAGCATTTCCTAACAGAGAATACTCAAATGGCCAATAAACATATCAAAAAGTGCGCAAAAGCATTGTTTTTTGGAGAAACGCAAAGTAAAATCTCAATGAGATACCACTATGCCAAAGTACCACTATGCATTCACCAAAATGGCTAAGATTTAAAAAACAACAACAACAACAACAAAAACCTAGCATCACATGTTGACAAGAATATACTGTTCAAAACACTCCTACATTGCTACTGGAGTGAAAATTAGTACACCCACTTTGGAAAACTGGCGGTGTCTACTAAAGCCACCCTATGACCGGGTAATTACACTCCTAGGTCTATACCAAGGAAAACAAACAAAACCAATAAAAGAAATCTCAGGGTTCAAATATCTTTGTCTCACCTAGACAACATTTGCAAGAGGGTCAGTCAGGACAGGTAGTATTCCACCAGCAGCTGTCATTTGTCACTTTTTACCTGATTTCTCAAAGCTTAGTTTCTTCTACTTTGCAATATGCAGTTGGCTTTATGACCCAGTTCGAAGAAGTTTTGGAATAAAACTGTGTGTAAGTAAATAAATATAAAAACCCACATGGATGAAAGATGACAAAGGAAAGGAGAAAAAGTCTAATCCTCTGTTCATTTGCCTCCTCCACCTGCTGACTTCCTGGTCGTGCCACTTTCTAGGCTGCAGAGCCCCATGGGGGATGATACACCATCCGCCACGATCTATGCACTCTCAGACCCAGATTGGGCTTCCCAGCAAGGCTCCCAGGGACCAGAACAAAAAGTCTGAACTGACTCACCCAGAAAGCAGAAAAGAGAAGTGAAAATATTAATATTCGTGAATGCCTCTGTATTTGTGAAAACTAGACCATAGATATTCTGGTTTCTCAACTGTTGTGCAAATATGGTAGCAGGGAATTAAGAAGGACTTACAGAGTCATGCCTGGAGGGCCAGAAGAGAATGTAGCCCAAGGAGGAGGAACAGGAGATCAACTCCAAGGAGTCCACAGAAGTCAGGGGACCGTGTGTTTTATGCAAATTGAAAAAGGGTGGAAATGTCTATTTGACCAAAACTGACTGAAGTTGTTTCTAGGTGAAGAAACATAGTTGATTTTAGAGATAAGTAAACCTCTATTTTGCCTTCTCCCCTTGCAGAGATGGCCATGGAGAAAAAAAAAGGGAAAGACAGAAACTTCAAAGCTGTCTCAGGCTTATGAGTTGTTTGGGCACATTGTGACCTTGACTGGACAATTTAGACCTCAAGCATTTGGATATAGGTTGGAGGAAGCTGAACTGCTCTACATCATAAAGTCAGGGGAATTCCCTTAGAGTTTCTGGAAAGCAGCTAGGGAGGAAAAAGAGAAACCTCTGGACCACTGGGGCCAGAGGCAGGAGCCAAGTTGGTAAAAATAGCCAACTTTTTAAAGATAGTACAGATATGAGGCTTTAAAAATATATATATACCCCCAGAGACTGGGCATAGTGGCTCATGCCTGTAATCCTAGCTGAGGCGGGCAGATCACGAGGTCAGGAGTTCAAGACCAGCCTTGCCAACATAGTAAAACCCCGTCTCTACTAAAAATAGAAAAAAATTAGCCAGGCGTGGTGGTGTGTGCCTATAATCCCAGCTACTTGGGAGGCTGAGGCAGGAGAATCGCTTGAACCAGGAGGTGGAGGTTGCAGTGAGCCGAGATCACACCACTGCACTCCAGTCTGGGCAACAGAGCTAGACTCCATCTCAAAAAAAAAGAAAAAATACTTCCAGAATTCGACATTCCTCCCATTTAGAGGTGGAGTCTGTGTCCCCTTTAATCTGGGATCTGTGACTGGTTGACCAACAGAATGTTTGAATATGGCAGAAGCAATGCGATGCTGATTTTAAGACCAGGCTTTAAACCACAGGAGGGCCCTAGCTGACCATGTGGTGTGTCATATTGGGAGTAGATGCTGCAGCCCCCGTTGGGCTGCCAGGAGACACCCATGTAGAGCACACACCATCTCCACTGAGCTCTGCCCAAACTGCAGGTGCATCACAAAATAATATAGGACTTTTGTTGTTTTAAATCACTGCTTTAGGGTAGTTTTTATTCACAGTAGTATAACTAGAACAGATTTTGAAGTAGGTTGCAGATATAACAAAAACATAAAACATGGGGTATTTGGCTGTGGGACAGAGCGCTGGGTAGAAGCCTAAAGGTGTTCCAGAAGATGTCAGTGCAGTGTATGGGAAAGCGATAGAAACTCTAGTGGAATCTGGAGGAAGGAGACCCTTGTTATGTATCAGTAAAAATTCTGTAAAACTCTCACCTGCAGTCATGGGGAAATAGAAAATGTACCTAAAAAAGTCAATGATCTAGAGATATCCAGGAAGTGGAGGTCAAGACGGCTTCTCACGAGACGGGCCAAGAGGATTAGAACCGATATTATCTAGGTCTTAAGGGGTGGGATGCAGATCCAGATACATTTATGTTTGCACAGGGATTTTTTTCACTCGTACTCTGATATTATTCAAGAAAGATTTGAAGTGACTTTTTTAAATACTGAAAATGTATCAGTGCAAAGTTAAAGATAAACTGGAGCAAAGAAAGAATGAGAGTGGAACATAAACTAAAACCAGGGACCAGAACTCTGAGCAGAACTGTGGGGCAGAGACAGGGAGGCAGCTGGGAGCCCAGGGGGCGCTGGAATCCAGGGCCCAAGGTGAGCAGAGGCCAGAAGCAGATGAGGATTCGGGGGTCCCAGGGGAACTATGCTCCAGAATGATGCTTTCTAAATCATGTTCCACTGAATCTGACTTCTGTTTAAGAGGAATCCCAGGACATAAGGGTTCTGTGCCCAGATAATGAAAAATGTAGGTCAACAAGGCTTCTATTCTTCTTCTCCTGCACCCCCCACCCCTGGTTTGCATTTCTTTCCCCACAAATTGGGTACGGATCCCAGCACACCAATGAGGACATCTTCACTGGTAAACAGACACATGCAGGTCCTGCAAATACATGGATCTTTCCCTCTCTCCCCCTTCCCTACCCTCTGTCACTAGCTCTGACTTGTCACTTGTGCGTTGCAACATCTCAGCTGAGGCAGGATGTGCTTCCTCCAAGCAGAGCCATCTCTCCGGAGTGCTGCTCTCTTTTGCTCTTAACCATTATGGGGCAAGTTAACCTGAGCAAGAGAGTGGCCCAAATGTGCTGACATCTCTGACACCCTTGACAAGAACAAAGCACTTGGCTATTCCTCAGATGCCTGGAGGGAGGATTAGAACTCTTGTGGTTCAGAAATAACCCTTTGATTCTAAACCCCATGCTCCACTCAATAGAAAGAACTGCATTGCAATATCATACCCTAGCTGCTAATAACACACTGTAACTGAGTTCCCATCTCCCAGTTTTTTTGGTTTTGGGTTTTGGGGTTTTTTTGAGAAGGAGTCTCGCTCTGTCACCCAGGCTGGAGCGCAGTAGCATGATCTTGGCTCACTACAACCTCTGTCTTCCAGGTTCAAGCAATTCTCCTGCCTCAGCCTCCCGAGTAGCGGGGACTACAGGCACGTGACACCAGCTAGGCTAAGTTTTGTATTTTTAGTAGAGATGGGGTTTCGCCAAGTTGGCCTGGCTGGCTTCAAATTCTTGATCAGTAGTGAGTTATAGGGAGCTTATTCTTATTTCAGGCCCAACTGTGTAGTGGATTTATTACTGGGAAGATTGAAAGGAATGAGGATCTTGGCCAGGCATGGTGGTGCATGCCTGTAATCCCAGCTACTCGGGAGGTGAGGCAGGAGAATTGTTTGAATCCAGGAGGTAGAGGCTCCAGTGAGCTAAGATTATGCAACTGCATTCTAGCCTGGGTAACAGAGCAAGACTCTGTCTCAAAAAAAAAAAAAAAAAGGAATGAGAGGTCAGGTGTAGTAGCTCAAGCTTGTAATCCCAGCTCTTTGGGAGGCCAAGACAGGTGGATCACCTGAGGTCAGGAGTTCAAGACCAGCCTGGCCAACAGAGGCAAGCCCCATCTCAACTAAAAAAAATACAAATATATATATATATATATATATATATAGTTGGGCGTGGCGGCAGGTGCCTACAATCGCAGCTACTTGGGAGGGTTAGGCAAGACAATTGTTTGAACCCAGGAGGCAGAGGTTACAGTGAGCCAAGAGCATGCCACTGCATTCCAGCCCAGGTAACAGTGCAAGACTCTATCTCAAAAAAAAAAAAAAATGCAAATTCAAGAAATTCAGAGAACCCCTGCAAGATACTATACAAGACAACCCTACCCAAGACACATAGTCATCAGACTTTTCAAGGCCAACACAAAGATAAAACCTTAAAGGCAGTTAGAGGAAAGGGTCAGATCAAGTACAAAGGAAACCCCACCAGGCTAACAGCAGGCTTCTCAGCAGAAACCTTCCAAGCCAGAAGAGTAGGGACCTATTTTCAGCATTCTTCGTATCCCACCAAACTAACCTTTATAAGCAAAGGAGAAATAAAGTCCTTTCCAGACAAGCAAATGCTAAGGGAATTCATTACCACTAGACCAAGCTTACAAAAAATCCTTAAGTGAGTTTTAAACAGAGAAATGAAAGAAAAATACCTCCTACTACAAAAACACCCTCACGAACTTAGCCCACAGGCCTTGTGAAGCAACTACACCATCAAGACTGCAAAGCAACCAGCTAACAACATCATGACAGGAACAAAATCTCACATATCAATATTAACCTTTGATTTAAACAGTCTAAATGCCCTCCTTAAAAGTCACAAACTGGGCTGGGCATGGTGGCTCACACCTGTAATCCCAGCACTTTGGGAGGCCAAGGCAGGCAAGTCACCTAAGGTCAGGAGTTTGAGACTAGTCTGGCCAATATGGCAAAACCCCATCTCTACTATAAAGGCAAAAATTTGCCAGGCATGGTGGTGAGCGCCTATAATCCCAGCTACTTGGGAGGCTGAGGCAGGAGAATCACTTGAACCCAGGAGGTGGAGGTTGCAGTGAGCCAAGATCTCACCCTGCACTCCAGCTTAGGTGACAAGAACAAAACTCTGTTTAAAAAAATAAAAAATAAGTCACAGAGTGGCAAATTAGACAAAAAAGCAAGACCCAATTGTCTGCTGTTTCCATGAGACTCATGTTACATGTAATAACACTCATGGGTTAAAAGTAAAGGGATGCTTGGGGAGTTGGGGAGAGATAGCATGGGGAGAAATGCCAGATATAGGTGAAGGGGAGGAAGGCAGCAAATCACACTGCCATGTGTGTACCTATGCAACAATCTTGCATGTTCTTCACATGTACCCCAAAAACTAAAAAACAAAAAAAAAAAAAAAAAGTAAAGGGATGGAGAAAGATCTATCATGCAAATAGAAAACATGAAAGCAAGGATTGCTATTGCATATCAGATAAAACAGTAAACCAACAACAGTAAAAAAAGAACAAGGAAGGCATTACATAATGATAAAAAGTTGAATTCAACAAGAGAACTTAACTGTCCTAAATATACATGCACCCAACATTGGAGCACCAAGATTCATAAAACAAATACTTCTAGCCTACAAAAAGATGTAGACAGTCACACAATAATAGTGAGGGACTTAACCCCTCACCACTGACAACTTTAAACAGATCATCAAGACAGAAAACTAACAAAGAAATTCTAGACTTAAATTTGACACCTTACCAATTGGACCTAACAGACTTCTACAGACAACCACTGAGTATGCATTCTTCTAATCTGCATAGGGAACATACTATAAGATTAACTGTGGCCGGGC